GAGCTCAATCAGGAGAGGAAAGAAGGGGGTGGGGGGAGAGTGAGCTGATACAGTCTGATGAACTTGACCTATACCTATGGAGCAGCGACTCAAAAGAGGGAACAAATCCTCACAGCAAGAAACATTCACACACACACCCCCACACAGAGTGGATGGAGAAGGGCAGCTTGGACATTGGATACTCAAATGGGGAGGGGGGGACTACAAAGGCAAGAAGTGACTGGCTTACAAGCTTTCAAGAGGGAACATGGTGCTAGGGAGCATGGCGGAAGGCAGAATCTCCAGTAGGTACTATTCAATCTGTCTGGGTGGAGCTGATGAAAGGAGATACAGATGGGTAACTCGTGATACTGTAGTGAATAATGCTTATCAGGACGGACTATGAGGTTTGGAATTGCAAAGATAGAAGTTTTGTTAACAAGGAAGGGAGTGATTAATTCTCCAGGATAGACCTCTGGGACCATCAGTGGAGAACAGCCCGAGAGCGGGACCCTATCCAGAGAAACAGAGATGCCTGAGAGAGAGACAGAGATGATGACGTGGAGTGATGAAGCTACTGGGGACTTTGGACGTAGAGAGGGAAAGGGACTGTGGGCCGAAAACTGGGGGGAGGAGAGGGAAGTGTAGGGGGCGGGTTTCTGGGATATACCCTTTGGGTGGTTGATGATGCATGGAGGGGATTGGAACCATGGCAATGAGATGATATACGATGGAATGAATGTAAAACTAAAGTTCTCCCATGTAAACTATCATATAATTCACAATAAAACATTAAAAAAAATAAAGGACATTTGCCCAAGGACAAAAAAGTTCAGAAGGATTAGAAAATGGGAAACAGGAAAAAGTGGAGTAAGTGATACTGCGTTGTAAGGATTGCAATCAGTGACATGAAACAAATTTGTATGCATTGTTGAGTGGAAAATTGATTTGCCCTGCAAACCTTCACTAAATTTACAATAAAAAGTTTTTAAAAAGTGATAAAATACCAAAAAAAATTTCTGTAATCTTAATGTGCCTTGCTTGTTAATATGTATTCACCAGATAGGCAGTAGATTTTAGTTTTGAACTCTTAATTTTGTAAGATAACTAAAATTTTGTAATCATTAGTGTATAACTTACACCGAAATGGTGGTTAAGTGCTGCAAGTTGGTTCTTACTCATAGCAACACCAGAAAGGGTTTATAAGGAATGCCTATTGGGTTTGAATTGCCAATTTTTTGGCTAGTAGTTCAGTGCTTATCCTGCAGCATCAGGTGTGATTGGTGAATTTTATCAGTGAATTAATGACTTAACCACATATTTTAAAACAAAATATAGTGAAATTTGTGAGAACTGGAAGTTTACAGAATTGCCTTGTTTTTCTGGGTCTTGCAAATTTTCTCCCTTTGACAGGGTGCAGTCATACCACTTTCAATTGCTCCTTTAAATCAAAAGCCAAACACATTACCATTGTGTTGATTCAGACTCATAGTGACACTGCTAGTGGAAAATGTTCCAAGTTCTCCTTCTCTCACAGATTTCCACCCTACACAGGTTCTGATTTTTGGCAAGCTTCACTGTATTATATGCATATTATGTAATAAATATATTATTGTTAAGTGCCATTGAGTTGGCTCTGACTCATAGCGACCCTGTATTGCATTTTGCTTGCTATGATACTTGCTTCCAAGAGTTGTACTCTGAAACTCCTCTGTTATCAGCTTGGAATGCAGTCTTCTTTTTTTATATTGTAATATAATTTTTTTATATTTAAAAACATAGAGTTGTATAGCATGTACATTTTTTTATTTAGCATCTTTTAACCAGTGTTTGAAAATTAATCCATGTTTTGTGTGTACTTTGCTCATTCTCCTGCTATGAAGTTGTTGTTAAATTGATCTTTTACTCATCATCACCTGCCAGTTGTTATTACTACTTACAAGTAGAGTCCTGGTGTGGCACTGTGGGATAATGCACTGAACTGCAAGGTCAGTTTGAACTGCAAGGTAGGTGGTTCAAACTCACCAGCCACTCCTTGGAAATCCTATACAGGGTCCCTATGAGTCAAAATCAGCTCGATGGCACTTAACAATAAGTAGATCTGGGCGTTTCTCACAAGTTTCTAAGCAATGCTAGTGCTGCTACTTAGGAACCAGTTCTGAAAACCACTAACAGAGCAGTGGTTCTCATTTTTTTTTCTACATTAAAGAATCACCTGGGCATTCTGATTTAGTATATTTAGATTCCCAAGGTGGAGTCTTAAGATTCTGCATTTTCTAATAACGTCTCAGGTGTTACAGATATGGCTAATCTATGGACCACAACTTGATAACAAAGCTATATAGGATTACTTTGAATAAATAAACCACATGAATATACCACACTTTACTATTTCTATTACTGATGAACACTTGGGTTGTTGTTGTGCCGTCGAGTTGATTCTAACCCATAGCGACCTTGTAGAGGGTTTCCGAGGATCAACTGGTGAGCTTGAATGTGTGACAGTAGAATGAGTGAGTGTACATAAAACATGGATGGATCTTTCAAACACTGGTTAAAAGATGCTGGATACAAAATGTGCACCCTGTATGAATCCATTTATACAGAGTTCACAACAGGTAAAACTAATCTGTGGTGGTAGAAACAGGATAGGAACAGTTGTGACAAAACAGGGGTCTTCTGGAGTTCTGATGTTTTGTTCATGATTTGGAGTTCAGTTACCTAAGTGTATTTCTCTAAATATTTATGAAGCTGTACACTTAGGACATATTTTGTTTTACATCAGTAAATGTTTCCTTAAAATGAATGCCAGCTTTTAAATTTTGTCATAATAGAATTCTATGGACTCTTGAGGCCAAAATAACATCAGGTTCAGAATTGATGGAATATTCTGTGTTAGAAATTATTTCAGGGGTTAGGGCCTGAAATTAATTGATTAATATCTAAGTTAATCTTTCAGGAAGACTGAAAATTTAATGATGTTTATAATTTTTGGTACCACATATGAATATTGATATGTGATTAGATTAATTTTCTCCAGAACAAATACAGATTTTTTCAATACCACTTATGAAAATTAGTAAAATTAAGGGTAGTTAGTATTTGGAGATCAAATTATTTTTTAATCATCTTCTCTTCATTGTTATTTTCCAGTGATTTGATGTTTTCAACTGTTGGTGCTTTAGTTGGTTTTTATGTACCTGAATTAGACTTGGTTTAACTAAAAAAATGAAAAATTACAGAAACAGTTACCAAATTAATTCTTCCTTGAACACTATTAGATGTGTCTTTCAAACTAATGTACATGTACTCCTTACAGAAGTGGAGTGTGCTTTAAGAGGGAGCTTCAAAAAGTTTGTGGAGAAATTTCTGTTATCTTTAATTCCACTTTTCCGTGAACTTCTTGAAGCCCTCTCCTGTGTTTTTATTTTAATTGCAATGTGAAGTCAAAGTACAGCAACAATTTTTCATAATTTTGTTACATTAAAATTCATTGATCTAGCTTGTACTTTGAATTGATCTTTTAAATACCCCTGCATGATATTGTAATATCGGTCAGTTGTTGTTAAGTGCCATCGAGTCAATTCCGACTCATAGCAACCTTGTATAGGGTTTCCAAGGAGCAGCTGGTGAGCTTGAACCACTGACCTTGCAGTTCAAATGACTTTGTAGTCTGAAGCATTTACCCATTCATTGTTATTGTTATGTGCTGTGGAGTTGGTTTGACTCATTGAACATAGGAAAATACTGATTTGTTGATTAATACAGATCATCCAAATGGTGACACATTTCATCATACAATATTTAAAAAGTCCTTTTAATATTATCACTGATATAATCTGAGATATTTTTAAAGTATTAGGGATCTGAGTTGTTTTAAGTAAAAATTCTGTGATTTCCCACCCCCCTGCCAAAAAAAAAAAAAAAAAGAAAGAAATTTTGGGTTGTTAATCAAAGGATTTCATTTATTTATTTTTTTTAAA